TTAGAATAATAAATGAACAATGCGGTGTATTTTTTTTATCAGTCACACTCTATGATCCATAGTAGTATGAATATCGCTTCAGCTCGAATCCTCTACCAAGGCTTTGAGAGTTGCAGTATTTTTCTAGAAATCTTGGCTGTTCGCAGAAGCGTACCTTTTGCAGTTCTTCCATCTTACCACTTCATGAATTCTCCGTAGTAGGCGCTGTTTGTCTCTTTTCATTGCTCTGGTGGCACCGATCACCAAAGAAATGAGTTCCCTCTTTACTGTGCAGATATTACATATTAAAATCTTCCATTCTTGCTATTTCAATGATTTTTCCCCTCTCAGCCAGGCATGCTATGTCAGTGATATGGCTCGCCTTTTTCGCTTTGTCTACAAACTCGATATCCGGATGATGAACCGATATTTCTTTCTCAGCTCGCATTGCGATGTTCCAGAGTATTTTCACCTGCTCAGTCTCTTCCATCGCTTTCAGCTGATGTTTCCTTAAAACTAGTAAGCCAGCACAAGCATGAACGTTATAAAATTTTTATTATTAATAAGTCGCAGTTGAAAATTATGTATATTGCATATAAACGAATTTCATTTTGTTTTAGGCGGTACGCGTTTTGATGAATGTAGTACAGTCACTTCCGTTCGACGCAGAAATGGTCACCCAGGGTGATATAGAACGTGAAGAAGAAAAAGCGCGCCATATCGCGCTTCACAACAAGAACAAATTTACCTTCGAGTATATGATGAAGTGGAACATACAAAACTGCTCCCGATGGCTGTCGCCGTACGATTATGTTTGGGGCGGAAAATATCGATGATTATGTCATTATTAATTTCATATCGATAACGAACACTTTGTACTTCGTTGTGCTCGTTAAAATATATAGACACCGCGCACCTTGTAATTTTTAATGCTCATGAAAACGTATAGACAGCGTGTAGTCTATTTCTTGTCTGAAAAAAGGTAGTTTTCAGAAAAATAAATAATGAAATAATATGCTTGGAGCTGTGTATCCAGAAAATCGAACAGAAAAATCAACAACAGTCGCAATATTGTTTTTGATCTTTGAACACGGGAATTCTGCAGGTGTTTGGTTTGTAAAACTAAAAGTACTCATGTAGAAAAAAAATGTTTTACGGAGAAAATCTTATTCAGCGATGTTTTAAGCTGGAAGGGTTAATTTCGCGGAAGAAAAAGGTAATTGTGAGGTTGCCCTGAGATTTAACGTTGAGAGTCGAGTGTACGGGAATGGAGGAAAGAAGAAGCAGTACTAAAATGTTTACAACAGAAAAAACGTGCAGTGAGGTAGAGGAGATGATCCTGGCCAGAGCTAGAAAAACAAAAAAAACACACGAGTGGGTTTTTTTATAGAGATTGAAAGGACATAAAGTGTCCACGGCCAGTATTTTGTTGAGGGCTAAAGAGGTTGCAGAAGAGGACAAAATAAAAAATTTTAAGTCTTACCCATCATGAGGCTTTAGATCTATCAAAAGAGAATTTGTATTCGTTCATCCTCCAGTGTTGGCCAAAAACTACTTGATGGCTGCGATGCGAAAGTAGAGAAAT